TGTGTGTAGTGACTCTGGGAAATGCCAGGTCTGATTCCAGACATGTGGTGTCCTATTTCAGCTCCCCCAGAGGCTCGGGGACTGTCCTTAGCAGACATTTCCTTTCCATCCGTTAGTTTCTCCATCCAAAAATGGTGATTTCTAAACCACCTCGTTTTTCTTCCCAGGAATGCCTTCTAGAGGAAGTAGATGGCATAGGATTGCCTTGAGCCTGGGCACTTGGTAGCTGTGGTGCTGAGAGAATGTCAGAGGAATGTCGGCGTCCCCTCCATGACACAGTATTCTTGGTCCTAAAGAAAACCTAAAATCTTGAATTTCATGCTGAGCTGCATAATGCCAGGCCCCTGACAGGTGCTCTGTAGATATTTAGTGAATCAATGGATGAAAATAAAATATAAATAAGAAAAACGTACCCACATGAGAAGTATCCAACAGTATATAAAATTATGAATATTTACAAGACACACCACTGGTTATTCTCGCCTGTTTTCACCGACTCTCTTGACAGCCTGTCATCTCCATTCTATTGTGGAGGAAACTGAAGCAGAAAATGAAGCAAGGTGCTGGGGTTCACAGACCCACAGTAGGGGGCTGTGTGCAAACCCAAGCCCATCTGAGAGCACAGTCTGCTCTTATCCAGTGGGTTTGCTGCTGGCTGGGCATGTGCATTATGCAGAGAAAGTGCGTCCAGTACATCCGAATGACCTTGTCTTGGACCCCTCCGGCAGGCCTCAGATAAATGGCGTCACAGTGACACATTCTGTGCATGTTGTCACGATGGGGGATTATGGGGTTGTCTGGAATTATGGGTTAGAGTAAGGCTAAGGAAGCCACTGACAGGGAAGAACGTCAGAAGGAAGAGCATGTCTCTCGTGTGGGCAGCGGGGACTGTTGACCCTCTCGTCTCACAAAGCCCTTGCTCTGTCTCTTGCTGTGTTCACTCAGCATTGTCGCCTTTCTGAAGTATGTCACGTGCTTAGCCTGGCCTGGCACCAATCCCTGCTGGCTCTCGTGGCCCCACATCTCTTCCTCAGGATGTGCCTGGTGACCCCCAGACTGTTCCAGACCTGCAGTCTCAGGTACCTCCATGCAGCCTTCCTGACGCCCTGGGATGAAGTCACTTGTCTCCTAGTGTCAGGCTTTCCAGCTCCAGCACCTCTGATTCTTTGGAAATTAATACTTAGAGGAACTAAAAGGACCCCCAGGGGTACAGGCTTTGACTCCTTCCTGGCCCTCTTCCTTGTGGAGAAGGAAGTGAGGGAGGGCCTGTTCCAGGAAACATAAACTAGTTTCTGTCCAAGAACCGTGTTCTCAGGAGAACTGGCCTTGCTGCCTGGACACCTTGTCTTTCTCAAGCAGTTGACACATCCTCATGGAGGAGAACCTCCTTCCTTTGTGTCCAGAGTCTCCTTTGTGACACAGCATCTGTCCAGAATCCCCAAGATCCGGGAGTCCGGGGCCAGGGCTCTGAGGGTCGTGTCACTGTGGATCTCTCTACACTTTGAATTTTTACAATCACTTTCCAACTTTTTGTTTTAAAAACACTTCTAAGTATCTTCCAAAAGCCATATCGAGGCATAGGTAACCTTCATCAAAGTGTGTGAATCAGGCCAGGGTTATAGCTCAGTGGCACAGCACCTGTCTGGCAAGCGCAAGGTTCAGAGTTCAATCCGTGGTATCCCCGCTCCCCACAAAAGTGCATGGATTTGATGGTCTTGAATTGTTTTATATCTGTGGGGCCATCAAAACATCTCTAACTGGTTCTGCAACCACATTTGACACAAGGGCCGGCCAGAGGTGGCAGAGCCAGTAGTTCTAGGCTTTCATGGAGGCCACAGTAGGGATCTTGGAAGGAAAATCAAGGGATTTGGATGTTTTGTTCTGTTTTGGTTTTTGGTACCAGGAGTCAAACTCGGGACCTTGCACTTGCCAGACAGGTGCTCACTGAGCTCTACTCCCAGCCCCCCTTGCATTGGGTTTTTGTTGTTTACTTCTGCACACCCGGGCTCTCCCACGCCGGGCTACAGACTCCTGGGTCAAGGGTGCAGGGGTGGTGCCTGGGCTGGAAGTGCTTGTGGGTGTGGGGTCACAGAGCATTGTACTCTTGTGAGCTGGACCTTTGGGCATACTAAGCATGGACAGAGGTTTCACTTCTTTTTGGGCACCAAGACAGGAAGCCTGAGCAGGAAGAGCCCCAGAAACAGGGCTTCTCTGTGGGAGCTGAACTTGAAAATAATGCTGAAGAAGAGCATTGGCCACAATGGGCAGGCTGGGCTTAGAGTGGACACCAGGGCAAACATCCATGTAGGAGTTCAGCCTGCCGTGCTGCCCTGGCTGCCCAGGGACCCTTGCCCTCAGCCTCTTTTCCTCTTGGTATTTGGCAGACACTTCCTCATTGAGCTTTGAGCTCCTGAGAAAGTGAGTTGTTGTCATTGTTAGGTGTGTAGACAAGTAAAACAAAAGTCACTGCGCTTCTGTTCTTCAGAGGTCAAGTTACAGAGGTTTCAAACATGCCCATTTTATCGCTGCCGCAGGCTCCTATGCAAAGGCAACTATTTGAAATCCTGGTACAGAAGGCAGAGCTGCTAACCTAAGAGCCAGGCTGCTTTCCTCATGGTTCATGGCAGTGACAAAGCCCCAGAACTTTCTTGACGTCCAGGGCTCTGCAAACACGTGGAGCACCGCAGGGCACTCCGGCCCTGGACCAGGAAGAGCCACCCGTTCTGCGGCCCTCAGTGCCCTGTTTGTGGTGATTTATTCCAAAGGAGACAGCTAAAGGTGGACTCAGAATCAGACCTTTGTCACAGTCTTGTGTCAATTAAGATAAAAAAGTGGAGTGCGGGCAGATGGCGTGTGCTCCTCTGAGGAACAAGGATGTGACATTAGGCTAGGAGGAGAAGAGCCATGTCTCCAATTAATAGGATTTTCCCTCCAGGACTGCTCCCCAAAACCTGATTTTTAAAAAAGATCTGCAGCTGTATGTCACAGCATGCAGTGTGTGGCTCCTTCCTGAGGCTGTAGTGGAGACAGTGTGACAGGTCAGGTTCCTGGTGAGGTGGTGGCTTCACTCGCTTACAGTTCCAGTCTTTGTGACTCATTAGTTCTCACATTGTTCATGCGCCCTCTTCCAGAAACACTGGAGTGAAGGATGGGGCTCCAGAGATGGGGTGAAGAACAAGAGTCTGACTTAGGGGTATTGACAAAGGCTTGTACGTTTATATGTTTATCCCCTTCCTTCTTTTTTAGGATACATTTGCTCAATTTTGGAAATATCCTTTCAAAATAGACATGATTCCTTGTTGAATGGGTGTAGGGTTTCAGTTTTGTGAATCTAAAAAAGCTATGCACCTCGGCTGCCAACCGTGTGAAAATACTCAGCACTGTGGAACTGACTACTTGAAACTGGTTACGGAAATAAATGGACCTAGTACCTTGAAGTCTTCTTGGAGAACACTTTGGCAGCCGAAACCTCCTTGTGGGAGTGTTTTTCTGGTGTTGGGGATCGAACCCAGGCCTGGCAACTTCCCCACCACTGATCTCCCCACATCTGCACTGGTGTTCCGCTCGCTGCATCTCACACTGCTGCTTTGTTAGGGGAAAACTGTATGGGAGTGGTTCACGCAGCCCATAAAACATGCATTCCCTAAACACGAAGAGGCTTAGCGAGTAACACCACTTGGGGTCCTCTGAGCCAGTTCTTTCTCAAGCAGAGAAGAGAACAGCAGTGCTCAGGCTGCACTTCTTCTAGACCCACGTCCAAAGCAGGCCTCACACGCAGCCCCCTAACCACCCACCGTGGAGTTCTCCCTGGAGAAATGCAGCTGTGAAATCCAGATGTGAACACCATCACCCCCACAGCTGGGCCAGGTGTCAAGGCAGAAGGGTGCTCAGATAGGACTTCCAGGGGCAAGGTAGACAAGCCTGAGGGTCAGAGCTGGCTTCCTCCCACCCACATGCACTTTCCCTCCAGAAAGACTGCAGCCTACTGGTTACCCAGCAAGGAATGTGTGACTGGATGTGACTGGAGTTTGTTGTTTTGTTTTGTTTTTTGTCCTAAGGTTTGAATCCAAGGCTTTTTTATGAATGAGCTACATTCATAGGCCTTATATTTTTTAAATTCCCAGGCTTGGGAATCTTGCCAAGGCACTAAGTGGACCAGGCCAGGCTTAAACTTGTGATCCTCCTGCCCCAGCGAGCTGGGACTGGAGCTGTGCTAAGCGTTTCCCACTGATAGGATGGGGGGTCATTCGGTGGTTAGGAGGGACTCAGCAGGCATTCTGCTAGGTTTGGGTTTCAGCTCTGCCCTTTTCTCACTCCACGGCTTCACATAACATATTTAATATCAGTGCCTCAGTCTCTCCAGAAGTAAAAGATGGGCGAAGTAATGTTTGTTGATTTTCTCATGACCGTGATGGTCCCATCTGATCACATCCCAGCTGTGTGACAGGGCTCAAAGATCTGTCACCCTTCTTCGAAGGGCTGTGCCCTGGGGCCTCACACATCTTCAGATGTGTAATCATTCAAGCAGCCGAGTTTGGTGGAGTCTGCTGTGCCCTGATCTTACTAAAAAGCCTTCCCACTGTGTGAAATGCAGTGACCTTTGTTATGTTTCCCTATAAGCAGTACCACGAGTGGGAAGTTGTGGCCTTGCTGTGAAATACAGAGTCTAGGGTCTCACACTGTCTGGGTATAAGGCCCAGCTCCACCAGGTGCTTGCTGGATGACCTTTAAAGTGGGAATCATAACAAAAATAACACCTGGCTCTTTGGATGCTGAGAAGACCAGCTGCAGAGATGTCTATATTTGCTGGCGCAGATAAAGACCTTGCTTAGTGCTGGGTGTTCCCTCCTGATTTAGTCTTCATGGCACTCTGAGGAGGTAGGCACTGCTGTTTTATTGACAGGTTGATTTGCCTTGCCTGAGGCGACATAGCCAGGAAGCGGCTTTACTGTGGCTCAGGACCCCTGGCTGGGCGGGGGGGGGGGGGGTAAGTGCCCCATACATCGGAGTGGTTGTGTTGCTGTGGCACTGTGAGCACCTTAAGGACAGGGATTGCCTCCCTAGCACGGAACATGCTGCCCAGCACACACAGGTGCTCCTTAGACACTGCATCTGGAGAGACCATGTCCACAGCAACAGTCTGTATACTGAAAGGCATCAGAGTTGCAATAGACGTTTCCCACACTATGGTAAATCTTCCGTAACAGGGACTCAGCCCCAGCTGAGTGTCAGTAGACTCTTGAACCCACACTAGGCAGACTGAGCCAAGCATTTTAGAAGGGCCTCAGGCAGCTCCCAGCTGATCCTCATGTGCTGCGGGGGTGAGGGGGTAGGTAGCTCTTTAGAACAGTGTCCAGGTGACATTTCTGCATGTCTAGACCGCTGCTTCCTGCTCTGGACCTTGGACTCTGAACCTCAGATAGATATTTTGAGTGCAGCGGCCAATCCTTGATGTCCTCGTTGCCCTTGGTTTTTAGGAGGATATTTCTGAAATGAGTATAAGATATAGCTTAGAAAAATGATCAAAGGAGACAACCAAACTGAGCAAAGAAATAAGTCTAGTTCACATGCTCATGCAAGGGTGTGACCTAAGCTGACAACCGCTTCTCCTGGCCTCATCCATCACTGCAGCCCACCTTGTGGGCACTGGAATACAAGAGCAGCACAGGATTTCAGCTTTGCCATTGTGATTGGGTTTTTTCTTTCTCTCTCAGACTGAGGAAGTGAGTCTTGATGATTATGTATGTATCAAGGGTTTTTTTTCCTGCTGGTTTAGTCCTGAAGTCTTGAACTAGATGAATTCTGGTAGAAGTAGGAGGAGGGTGCTCAGCATGGTGGGCATGCAGGTGCTGAGCCTCCGTCCCCAGGGAACGCCAGAATGAGCACCCATTGAAGAAGGAAACATGGCATAATGATGTGGGTAAGAGACTGGGGTGTGGAGGGGGAATGCAGAAGGAAAGCTCAGGGGGAAATTAGCAAACATTAAGAAATGATCACGTGTCAGGAGAAGAATGAAATTTCTTGTGTACTGTCCTGTTCATCCCCACGACATTCTGGAAGGTTTGGTGCTGTGTCTCCTTTACAGAAAAGGAGCCGATGCTTTCAGAAATTAAGCATCTTAGCCTGCTTAGTTGAGCAGTTTCTGAAGCCAGGAATTCACTCCAGGTCTCTAACTCCTGTTTCCTAGCAAAGGTCCTTATTTCTGCAGGTTATGATTTAGTGTCCAGGTCCTCAGATAGCAACTAGGAAGGTTGATGTCACCTTAAGGAGCTTGGAGATGTGTTGGGTCTAAAACCCAGCAAAGACTGTAGACATGAGACCTGTCTCTCTTCTGTCAGCTTTCGGCCTCTCTGCCTCCTTGTCCAGCAAAGAAATGTCAAGTGCAAAGGCGTAGACCAGGAGAGATTTTTCTCTTTTGCAGTGCTAGGAATGGAACACAGGGCTTTGTACATGCTAAGCAAGTGCACCACTGAGCCATATCCCCAGCCCTAAAGCCATTTTTAAAAATAAAAAACTTACGATACAAAACACACACACACACACTGATCTTGACCATGAACTTGAACTACAGTTTTCCTTCAGCAGCCTGCCTTGTTCTCCTGGTAAGAAGAGTAAGGTTGCTCCTAAAGCACAGGTAGGAAGGCCTGGGAGCACAGGATTTGGAGACTAAGGCTGGGTCTGAGGGCAGGACTGAGTTAAAAGAAGCAGCCAGCAGTGTTGCTGTTAGAGCCATAAAATTCTGAGTGTCCAGGTCAAAGCAAGAACCTCGGTCTTGCTCTTGGCCCAGGGCTCTTGCAGAGTCGCCAGGAGCTCTAGAGAAGAGATATTTTCCTTACTTCTCCTTTTCTAACTGTATTTTTTGCGAATCCATGGCCTAACAGAAAGTCAGGGAGGCAGACTGAAGTGTAGCCCCACAGCCAGCCCCAGAGTTCCTTGTACTGCTGTGGTCTGGGCCATGATCCCACTCTTCCTCCTGCAAACAAAGGGGACCCAGAGTGACAGCTTCTGGTCCAGCAGACACTCCGCCTGGCAGCCAGTGACACTTGCGCTGCCACAGGGTCATGGCCTGTGATTTCTGTCTTACAGGTTGACATGCTATTATGAATGCAAAACCTATTAATTCTACTCCAGAAAGGAGGAGGCAAGGCCTCAGGAGGGAGGGAGCAGGGCCAGCTGAGAAGCACAATCAGACCCCGATGAGCTCACTGCTGACTTCCAGGGCCAGGGCAGTGTGGGTTAGAGGGCCTGGTGCGCTGCATGTGAGTTGCTCGCTAAGAATCTTCGTGCTCGTTGTTTCAAGGGGCCTGTCAGGTACATTTTGCTGACAGTTTGGATAGGAAGAAGCAGGGGGATGACAAGGCTGGAGTGTACTCCTGTATCTTGGCTGTCCCTCATCCCATGCTTCTGTGGTGGCTCAGATTTTAGGGGGTGGGACCAACAAGATCACACACACAAGAGGAGGTATTGGGCTTAACCTGGGCCTATCACTTAGAGTCCTAATTAACAAAGATGTTTCCAGATGTTGAAAATGTCTCCGTGATGCTTACTGTGGGGCCTCACAGGCTTCGGGAGGTGCTGGACTTCGCTGCAGTTAGAACCAGCGGGGCAGATGAGTCACGTAGAGAAGGCTGAAATCCTGTCTCCACTTTGCCATTCATCCATCCATCCAACCATCCCACACGTCATCAGCAGTGACCATTTGGACACAAAAATACTTGCAGTACCACTCCTCCTGTCAAGATGTTGTCATCCTAGGCAAGAAACAGACTTCTGAACACGAATGGGAATGTCACAAACCAAGAACTCAGCTGTAACTACTGCAGCTTTTCGAGCACTGTGACAGCCCTGTCATTGAGCTGCTGGGTCATTGGGGTTAGCACCAGACAGAGCGGCATGGGGACAGAGAGCTCTTCGCAGAGGTCCCGAAGCAGGACCAGTTTGGGCAGCAGAGAGAAAGGGGTGTCTAAGCCAAGAGAGCAGCTGTGCAGTGGCGGGGGCAGCATGGAAAAGCAGATGGGAACAGAGGGACGTCTTCGTGTCCAGGCCTTCCTTCCGTCTCAGGGGCTCTGCTGCTGGAGCTGTCAAAGAGGAAGGTGCTCCATGCTGTTCTGTGCACCCCAACTGACTGCACCAGCACCCAGCAGACTGTACCAGCACCCAGCAGATTTCACCAGCAACCCCCCCTCCCCCAGATCCAAGACCCTGGGCACAGTGCATCTGCTGTCGTTTTCTCGAACGTGACTTTGTGAACATTCCTTCTTTCTTTGTCAGCCCGCAGGAGACTGCTTCTCCCTGCCTGTGTTGGGACTGACTTCACATTTCTCGTGTGGTTTGGCTTCAGAATCGAGCTGAAACATCAGTGCCAAGCTGCCTAATAAAGGCTGACATGAGCATGTGTTTAAAACCTAATAAAATATTGCCTCCAAAATTTCTGGCCAGACTCTCTAAGTAAATATCTAACATTAGGTCTCACCCAGAATCGCCCGTCAGGTTTCAGGAGATGGGGTTTTGAATGCGTTCCCAGCTGTGGGAATGGTGCGGAGAGGCTGCCCGCTGGACTGGGCTGTAAGAGAAGCCGCCGTCTGTCCTTCTCAGAAACTGTGGAAGAGTCTTCTGTCCCCTGTGTACTCTGGGCAAAGCCCGCTGTGTGGATGAACCGGGTCTCCTTGTTTACCCATGAAATCTAGTGGATTTTTCCCCACACAGAGTTGAACTCTGAGACCAGCATTAGGAATTAAAGTCATCAACCTTACCTGGAGCAGAAGACACATTCCAGGACCCTCAGTGGCTGCCTGGAACCACCAGTAGTGCAAACTATTATATGATTTAAAAAATACAGAAATTGCTTAAGATTTTTAAAATTTATTATGGTAAAAGCCATATTGCTAGCAGTTCCATTCAAAATGCCCCCGCTTCAAACACACTGCTCCCTCTGTTCTTGCCACTTTCTGAAGAGATCTGGCCTTAATCTTTTGAGGGTTTCTTCATGGTTGCTCTGATGTTCTGAAGTGATTCAAAATATGGACCTTCACGGTCATTTAGACATTGGGAAAGAGCCTATGCCAGTCCGGTGAACAAGGTGAACAAGGACACACAAAATGTTTTTACAAACCTGCCCTCCCGTTGGACAGTGCTCGGCAGCAGCACTAACTAATGTCTTTGATCACCTCTCATAAACAGGACTCCAGAACTGCTCAGACAGTGGCAGGACTGATGGATAAGTGTGTTTGAAGGGGGCGGGACTTAATATGAGGAGGGTTAATAACCTGTGTCTTTTACTGCAAGAAACTTCTTAATTTAAATGTTCGTTGTGTATTTTGGTCATACCTCTTATACAAAAGGTTTTCTACAGTTACATACCTGAGCTTTAATTTATTTTGGGTCCAGTAAGAGATTTATAACATCTAATTATCATAACAGTATACTAAAAATGTGATTGAATCAAGGCAACTATTATTTTGTTAATACTATGATTTTATTAATATAATGCCCAACTGAAATCACAGAAGGTAGACACATGAATGAGGAGCACCTCAGTGGATTATTTCATACACTGACACTCTTCAGTGGACTGATGTTCCTAATCTCCTTGCTGTGTGAAATTCTGCAAGCCTCTTCTGGAGCTTTTGGAAGCAAGTGGATTGTAGGTAAATAGAAAATGATGTTTTGACCCAAGAACCTGGGGACTGGAATTGTGTTTCTTTGGAGCCGGCTCATATGCGTCATATCTGAGTGTCCCCAATGAGCATATTGGGAGGGAGGAGGTCCTGTGACCTTTGCATTGTCACTTACTTGTCTGATTTTTCATGAAATTTCTCTCAGGGAATGAAAATTTTCAGCTGAACATGGGTTTTCCCTCCTTGATTGCCTGGAAAGCCAATGCATTTTTTTCATTACTCTCCTCCTCCAATGAGAGGGCATTTTTAATCATATCGAGTAGGTGCATGCTAGGAGTTGGTGAGCGCTGTCCCCAGGGAGGACACCTGGCAGGATGCTGAGAAATTCCAAATTAAAATGCTGATAAGCACTGAAGAGTTCATACTGTGTCTTCAGGAATACTGCTTTTTCTTCTAGCCAATAAATGTAATTATGACCCTAAAGGAAACAACTGACAGGGACAGATGTGAGAAGGTGAATTCCATTGGCTGGTGTACCCACGCACTCCAGAGGGCCTGCTTTCTGGGGAGACTTCAAGGCCCAGAGAGGTCATCTGCCTTCTGTTTCAACTTAAGACACTTTTGTCACGGTTCCCAGGATAAAGGACATCATTCAGAAGCAGGGTTGCATTCCGGGCCAAGAAACGCATGTCAAGGCATTGAGGGGAAGCTAGCACTTAGAGTTGCCACCTGAAAGGGAACAGGAGTCCACTTTTTTTGAGCACCAATCCTGCACCAGGTGTTGATAAATGATAATCAATAAAAGTATATGGCAACTATGGGAAGTAGATGCTATAACATGCCAGAGAGTGCCCTAGGCCTGAGTTCTAAGCCCAGGCCTGGGTGAAGCTGCAGCCCTGTGTTTTGTTTAACCCCTTTTCAACCTGAGACGTGCATCAGCATCTTACACTTGCTGAAACTTTAAGGCAAAAGCCCCACCTTTGGGGGTCCCAGTTGGCCAGGTTCAGCCACCCATCCCCAGATGCCAGTCGAGGACTCGGGCCGGGTAGGAGCTGGGATCAGCACAGCCATGTGGGAAGCACAGATATAGAGAGCAGGTCTGTCTTTGAGGGACTGACTGGAACCTTGGAGTTTTATAGAAATGGGAAGAGAAGGCAAGAGATGGGGTCGCATAGCTGGGGTTTGCATGGCTGGCAGTGCAGGTAATTCCGGTCAGGTCGTGGTCTGGTTGCGGGGTGTCTAAGGACTGGTTCTGGGGAAGCTGTCATCAGCAATGACGGCTCCTGATTAGGAAGCAGCCTTGGTTCCTATCATGGAGTCACTGGCCTGTCTTGTGGGTGACCTCATCATAGCGTTGTCTGCCAGGCCCTGCTTTCCTGGAATGTAAGGCGACCACAGGTTTAGCACAACAGCTGAAGGCTTGTGGGCATTGCTCCAGCGGGGATAGAACCAGATGCTGTGAAATCTGGCTGCGAATCCTGGGAATTACTTTAGGCCCTCTTATCTTGATGTCCTCAGTGCTGAAGGGGATGAGATAGGCTGGGTGGATTCAGACTGATAAACCTTGTAAAGCAGATGCTCCTTAGGTGATTAACCTGGCCACATACAGAGTTAACAGTGATCTGTCCCACAGTCTCAAGGTTTAAAGGGATGATGTCCAGTGAAGGCAAAGATGCCAAGCTTTGTCTGGGTCTGCTTGCCCACTAGACTTTTGATGTGCAGCCTCTGAGTCCCTGTTTTAAAGCTCCATTCTCTGAATATCAGGCAAGCCCCAGCCTAGGTGGTGGTCATTATGGCATGTGTGCTCCAGGAGGATGTTCATGTCATTGAAAGCTGTAAAAGGTCACAGTTACTGCTAGGCAAAGGACAGCAGGTGTCCCGGGCAGTGCCCTTTCTGTCGACTGCACTAGAAAGGTGAGCAAGTAGCCCACCTGTCCCACCCCACCTTCACTGTCATCTGCTCTAATGCTGGACAATAAAACTGTACTGTAAAAACCCCAGCTTCTTCTGACTGTGAGCTTGGCAAGTCCAGTACCAGAGTCTGTTTGGGGCATCCTGACCTCCACGCACAGCACAGAGAGCCTGTTTCAAATCTCACTTCCATAGCTGCCCCCGTGTGCTTGGACAGAACCCGCTCTGCACTTTGTTGATCCCCAGACCGGCAAATGGAAAAATTCAGTGCGCAGCAGCATGACAACATCAGGGTTCCTTTGTCCTGGGGCCGTTTGACCCTCTGGAAAGGTAACAGATCTGCCAGTGTGTCATTCTGTCAGCAGACAGGGCTCAAGGAGGTTCCTGAGGCTGAGACAGGAACCTCACTCACTTTTTTTGTAGAAGTTTGCAGGTTCACAGATTCGCATCACAGAAAAGTCCCAGGTCTCATTACAGTACAGGACAGAGAAAGGCTTTGTGAGGCAAAAATTAAAATACACACACTCGAAGAAATCGAGTGTACACCCTAGAGGAAAAGGTGCTTATTTACTGGAACAGGGAAATGTGCAGGCTTCTCTTGGGGGAGTGGAGACCCCAGGAAAAGCTGACCACCCCCAGAAGGGTAGTAGCCCTTTCTGCAGTCAAAAGATGCGGACTTTTTGTTTTATTGTTTTTTGATGGGTAACTTAAAACATTCTTTAGATTCTTTCAAGCAGATCCTCTATCTGAGGGTCAGTCTCCTGCTCTTTCCCTTCTCAGTTCAGTCGTTTTATGGACTTTCCATGTTCCTCAAGAATTTTGGGTGTGAGGAATCTGGAAGGAAAGGAAAGGAAGCTGGTGTGGATCAGTTTGGGTGACTCTGTGTGAGGTCCGAAACCTGCAGTCTTCATTTTTATTTTATTTCAGCTTATTAGCACACATGTGTCGTGGTTACTTTTCTCTTGTTACTGAGACAAAATACCTGATGCCCAAAGTGAAGCAAGGAAAGGTTTATTTAGCTTACAGTTTGTGGATGTCTCAGTCTATAATCAGCTGGCTGGAAGGCAGGGCAGCATGGCCCCGGGGTAGGCAACGCTTCAAGGGAGCAGCCAGAGCAAAAGGGCAAAATGCAAGCCTCTTTCCCTCCCTTATATTGTACCCAGGCCACCCCCTACCATTTCAGGGGAGGTGTAAGCACTCACAAAATCTCCTTGCCTGCCTTTGCACAGGAAGAGGATATTTACAAAGTAAGAACCCTGGCTGCCTGCTGAGTCTTTGGATTAAACTCAACTTGACACAATGTATCAACCATAACAACCTGTTAGTTTCCTATGTGGGGTTGTAAGTGTACATAATGCATCTTAAGGCAGGTGTACATGGTGCATCCCTTCTTCTTCCTTTTCCATCCCCTCTCCTCTTCACCCATCCCTTGATGGTGCATGTTTTCAAGACACAATGCACAATTTTTAGTTTTGATTTCCTTGTTTCCTTTCTGCGTATCTCTGCTTCTTTCTTCTATCCTACTTCACTTCTCCCATCTCCAGACTTTGATCCTGCTCTGAAGAGGGTGCAGAAAGCTGGAACTATTTCAAACTCAGGAGGGGCGTTCATCTCACGTATCCAAGGATCAGAGGGACTGATCTAGAGACAAAGGAGGATGGGTTTTGTTGTTTGAGGATCAATCATCTTTTGATAGTCTGGAAAAGAGGGCAAAGACTTTAGCATGCCACTGACTCCTATGCTGCATTTTCTAACCTTATTAAACCAGCCAGGGCCAGAAACCAGCAGTAGAATATTGATGAACAGTGGCCCCAAAGAACAGCATCACCCTTTTGTGATTAATACGAACCTCTATTTGTGAATAGATGCGTTTAAGAGCAGGCAGACTCCTCTTTGTTTT